TTACATAGAAAGTACGCCATTGACCATCGTCCACTCACATCTGCCTGTAAGGTGAATGCATTTTTAGCCATTGCAACACTAGCGATGGTCCGCCAGCTTGAATTTCTGGTGGTATTGTGCCCAAAGGACATTTGTCAATATTCAAATATTTCAAATTCTGACACAACGCTAATTCATATGGTAATTTCTCCAAACAGGGATTTTGATTAATGTAGAGATTTTCTAAATTCTCTAATGAGCCAATCTCTTCAGGTAAATATTGTAGATTATTTTCGCTCACTGACAAATGCGTCAAATTACTGAGATGTCCAATGGTGCGTGGTAATACCGTAATTTGATTCGTTTGTAAAATTAATTTTTGCAGTTCATGCAGAAGACCAATTTCATTTGGTAACACCTCGATACGATTCTCTTCCAGATCTAGGATACGTAATTTGCGCAAATTTCCAATAGTATTTGGTATTTTTTTGAGCAAGTTATTTGATAGTATGAGTATTTCGAGATTTTGTAAGTTCATTATGTCGTCTGGTAGTTTTTGCAAAGCATTTGTGGCCAAATTCAGTTCAACCATATTAACCCATGTACCCACATCGAGTGGTAGAGCAGTCAGTGCATTCTCTTTCATGTTCAACTTTGTCAAACCTTTAGCTCGTGAGAAAATACCATAGGGAATTTTATCAATACGATTATGTTCAAGATTAATGCTATACACATTGGTAAACTGTGCTGGTCCACCTGTAGGATAGCTTTGGAAAGAATTTCGTGAAAGTGTTATAGTTGTAAGTGCGCTTAAACTCGCAAGTAATCCATCTGGTAGTTGAGTAATGCCATTGCCTTCCACATTAAATTCATCCATGCATTTACAATTTTTCAATGATGTGGGTATAGATGTTAAACGGTTGTATCTGTAAATAGAAAAATTTTAGATTAAAACAATTTAAAACATTTTATTATTATAAAATCATTTACTGTTATAAAACAAGTTAAATTAAATAATTTAATATGTTCCTAAATAAGACAAAAAAAAAAAAAAAGAATGAGTATCGAAGAACTAGTCTCATATAAAACTAATTATAAATTTGTTTCTTGATCACACTGATTTTAAGAGAAGCTCTAGTTGTTGTTGTTATCCTAACCAGGAGAGAAGGAAGAGTTAAAGGATAACGTGTCCGAGTATTATCATTAGGCTACAAAGCGTAGACATGGGTCTATAACCATGTAAATGCATATGTAGCCATGGCAGTTAGTAGATAACTGGAGGTTTGGACACACAAATAATGTGATCTAATGTTGTGGACTACAAGACAAAACAATATGGATTTGTATTGGATATAAGGGGAGTTATAGAAGGGAGTTAGTATAAAATAATGGATGTAGGTGTCGATAAAATCCCAATTAAAACTATCATGGGTTTAGTTAAATAAATTTGGCACTTTTTGGACGAAGTTATAAGTCAATAATGTTTAAATTAGTATGCGAGTTGGAGTATTTAAACAGATATTAGGTCATAAGAAGTGTAAATACAGTTTGGGAACACATTGATAATATAAATGTAAATACGAAGAAAGTTACTGTATAGTACGAAGCTGCAATATAATTTCAGTTGGGAAAAGGCAACTTTACATTTACAATGCAAACGTGGTCTGAAAGAATACACTTCGATATTAGACCATACTGATGTTGTCTCGATGGCAATAAGAGGAGACAACTTCTCGTAGAGCAATACATTTCGATGTAACGTAGAAGTAGGGTTCTATTGATTTATCAATTAGCTTAATATGATGATACTTTTTCTAATATCAAAAGTGGAAATAAAAGTTATTTATTCAGTTCCAAAGAACCATTTAAATATACAAGTAATACTTATAAAATTATTTTAGTTTGTTGTCATAACTATTTTATAATGATTTTGTTGGAGACGTTTCAAACAGTACTAAATTACAACAACTTAAATTTTTGTTTATTTTTATTTAATTGAATTTTTGATTGACAATACAGCTGCTTCTAATATTATCAAATACCCATCATAAGTGGGCTTGGAATTAATTTTCATATATAATTATTCGTAAGTAATTAAGAGAATTAAAGACTACATTTTGTCGCATAATGTTATTGGTGTCGGAATACTGCGTTGCTTTTATAAGGCATTAGAATGATCTTCTTCTTATCAATACTCAATAACTTTTGTACGTTCTGTCAAAACTTCATCACCTGATCATTTTTTAGTGAACTATATTATTAACTTAATTTTCTTAACACTATCATATTTAATAAATTTTTTATTTGAACTGAATATTTTCTTACCTTAATCCCAAACGCACTAAATTTTTTAGGTTACCAATTGTTTCCGGTATATCAAGTAGCTCATTGTGTTGTAAATCTAATGCGCTCAAATTTATACAGTTACCGATTTCTTCAGGTAGATGTTCCAGATGATTGTGTGATACATCCAGTGTAGTCAAATTTACTAAAGCACCTATTGATGCACCCAGCTCACGTATCTTATTCTCACGCAAACTCAACATAGTCAGATTGGTAAGATTACGTATATCAATAGTTACGGCGGTAATACGATTGAAACGCAAGTAAAGCGTTGTTAGCGAACGCAACTTATATATGACTGCCGGAATTTCTCCAAGTTTATTATGCCTTAAATCCAGCACCTTTAATTGTTTGCAGTTCTGTAAGGATTCTGGCAGCGAATTGAGTATATTTTCATTGAGTGCAAGTGTTTTCAAATTAACTAAACAACCAATTTCTGTGGGCAGTTGACTTATTTTGTTGCTATACAGATAAAGTTCGGTAAGGTGTGTGCAATCTTTAACGCATGGTGGTATTATGAATATTGATGATTTACTAAGATCCAAACGTTTAATGCCTATATATAAAAAAAATAAAAGAATTAAAAAAGATCCATAATATATTCAATCAATATTGATATGGCGTTACCTTCATCTCTGCAACGCTGTAGCGCTTTCACCACATCCTGGTCTGCTTGCTGTGGTTTGCTTTTTTTAGTTGTAGGTTTGGGTTTATTCGATTCTGGATGTTTGACAGTTACAACTTTAGGACGCGTTTCGGGTGGCATTTCGTTATTGTTACCAGTGCCACTGTGTGTTGGATGTGTTATTGTTGTTGTGTTTGTGGATGATGGATGGGCGGCAGCACAACTGCTGCCACTGCCAAAACAATGTGTTGTCAAAGCACCGCCACCGCCAGTGCCTGCCGATGTTGTACTTTCACTTACTGTTTTACCCGCGGATGCTAATGACGTTGACGATGCTGTAGCACCTGCAGAGGAACACAAGTTCATAATTTTTCCCAGGGTAGCGGTCGACGGCGACAATTTGTTGCCCAAACTTGTGAATTATTTTATTTACTCAAAAGAAAACAAAATTCGTAGTAAACGGTTTTGTGATGGCTTAAAGGATTATAGATTAAATAGATTGCAATTGCAATGGTGTTATGTTCTTCAATAAGAATTTAAAATTTAATCGTGCCTCGAGTTTACAACTAGAAAAAGATCATAAAACAAAGAAAATAAGTTAATATATTTGGCTTTTTTATATTTATTAATTTGTTATTAAATTGCCTACGTCAATCTCAAATATCCCTAAAATATTGTATATTAAGCGTGAGGCTATGAACGCTCAAATGCGTCATTGATATCTATTTATTTTTTATTAAGTTCACTTTATTGACTTTATTATTTGTTGCAATATTTGTGCATTTTTAAATGAAAGCCAAGTCATTGTCGTTGTCGTCGTCGTGGCCCATGCACATACAGAGCTTCACACATATGAAGTACACTTAAGTTGCCATAAGTCAATATTAAAAAAGAATTGTGGTCACTGGACAAGTGCTACGTCAATGACAACAGTGTACTAAGTGCGTTTGTTATTATGACGACAATGTCTGGCCGCATTCCCTATACAAGCCGCATACAAAAGCGTACTGAATGCTCCTCTTTAACCCAAACTGAAGTATTCAATTAATTTTTGTGGGTTGAGTAGGAGTAATTTGTCCTTAGCGTTCATTTTTATATATAAATTACTATATATAGGTCACAAGACAAAAGGGGCGTAAATTAATAGTAGCGTTTATTATTAAACCATTAAAGGCTTTCATTCGCTGAGTGACATGCAACAGGTTTACAGTTTAAGGTATGGAACATAATTAAAAACTCTAGGAAGGACATTTTAATTAAACCCTGAGTTAATTATTTAATTTGATAATAGATGATGGGTTATCCATCATGTAGTTCTAATTTGGCAACACTGCTTCAGTGACATATACCATAATATTATGTATCAAACAAAAGTGTCAATCAAGGCACTATATATTTAGTTTAAGGTTTGCCATATCTTTAAAGCGAACCGTTTAACAATAGCTGAACATATTTCAATTGTGAAAACTTCCAACAGAAATAATGACGAGTTTTTATATTAAATTTTCTTCAGTGATAAAACTAATTGTATTCTTCGAGGATATGTTAACAAACAATACAGTCAGATATGATGAAGCAGTGAAAATATTGAAAATTGATAGTAAATATTGAAAGATCATTGCATTTACGTATCAACAAAAAATCACTGTCTGGTTTGATATTAGGCCCGCAGTTATGATAGTTCCATACTTTTTTGGAAATGACAAATGTGGGACACAAACCGTCAGCTCTGATCGATAAAATTAATACTTTTGACAAGACATTTAAGAATTATAAGAAAGACATAGTACTAATGAAACACGTACAACTATTAAATTGCATAATATTATTATTTTATTACAAATAATGAGTCTCCAAAGGGAATGGGAATATGATACTTCATCGCTCATATTGAAAGTGAAACTCTGGGGCGCAAATGGTTTGCAATAAACCATGAGTCTTCAAAGGGAATAGGAATATAGTACTTCATTGCTCATATTTACGTGAAATTCCGGGACGCAAATGGTCTACAATAAACAATAAGTCTCCAAAAGGAATGGAAATATGGTAGTTCATTGCACATATTGACGTGAAAGTCCGGGGAGCAAATGGTCTGCAGTATTCTTTTATTCTTTAACACTGGGGAACGTTTTTATATACAATAAACATAAAAATACTTTTCATAAAATATAAATCCAATAAAAAAGATAACACGAAATTAAAGTTGGTATTAAAGGTCACGTCATAAACTATAGACGAGTATATATGGATACTGCGGAAATGCTCATACCTTTAAAATTGATTGGTTGACAAATTATGAAATATTATTTTTCATGTTATTGACAAACAGTGATTTTAAAAACAACATCTGTCGTGTTGTGTGTAAATAAATATGAGAATGTGAGAAGAGCGCTTCGATAATTTTTTTTCTTTTCTCCATATAGCATATCTACAGAACACACTGTAGTCAAATTCGTTGTTTACAAAGTATTAAGTGGTGGCACTGATTTTATATCATTAAAACGATCACGTTTCATAACTTAAAGCAATTATTCGACTAAATAATAAAAAACACATTATGTGCTTAATCAAGCAGAAAAGTTTTTTTGTAAAGTGTAAAGTTTCATATATTTTTTTCGGTCTACTTGAAGGGATGCAAACGACGAAGCGAAATATTGCGATATATAGTTTGTGCGGTCAAGATATGATGATTAATAATATAGTTTTCACAAGATAAGTAATTCTTCTGTTCCTGTTTTACTTTTTTACAATGTTCACACGTACTTATCCATGGAGTTAGAGTTTCTCGCTCGTAAGAGTTTTTCAACAGTCGTAGTGGATTTTTATCAAAAAGAGAATACATATTTTAAAACCAAAAAAATGGAAAGTGAAGAATAAAGGAAACCATCTAAAGGAAATAAGATTGTATATTAGTTGATAATAGTTAGAGAAGATAAAATGGAAGCTAAATCATTTTTACTTCGTCTTAGAGAGTAGAGTTATGATCAAATTTCAATAATGAGGAAGTGGTTATGAAAAATCGAACCTAGGGCATATTTAGATTATACATATTATCCATGATATATAAAGGTTAAAGCTATAAAGAGGCATACGAATGGGTATTAGTAAGGAAAGATTAGCGAACATAAATCATATTAAGGTTCTGCAAACTTACCACTTAAACAAACGAATAAGAATAGTAAAAGAGGGAAATTTAATCCAATGCACATTTAAATTTAGAAATCTAACCTTAAGCATTATAGAATTCATAGATTAAGTGAATTGAAAAGAGAAAAGGGAAGAAAATTGCTTCCAGTTCACATTTATGTAGAGTTATGTTAATATTGAGAGCTAATATCTCAATCTCAGCTAAGAGACAGCAGTTCTAACTACGTATAGGAGTCGAAAAGGTAAATAAAGATTACCTTATCTGCTAAAAATTGGACTACTTTCAAAGTATACAAAACCATTATATCTAGTATAAAGGTATATAATTCCAACCATAATAAACCTTAAAAATAATATCGCATATTATTTTAATGAGAAGTTAAGTAAGAGTTTTTTTTTTCAGTGTAAGTAAATTTTCTTGACTGTAAGTAAATGAAGTAAAATTAATTTCAAGTCGATGTATCAGTTGTTTTAATATTCCAGTTTTAAATAATCTATGAATGGAGCTGTACATAACATCAAATATAAATTGTTTTTAAAATATAATAAAATAGATTATAACATAAGCCTTTTATTGAAAAGTATATATTTCGTTTGGCCTAAAGGCATATCTGAATTGAAATAGGAATAATCATTAGTTATAGATTAGTTATAACGATGACTCTGGAATTAAAATAATTTTTTTTTTTACTATCATAAAGTTTTATCAAAGCACCAAATCATTTTTTTATTTAACATAATGGAAATTAACAAATGATAAAAAAAAGTATGAGTAAATATTGTTCACAAGATTGTCACGTCTCTTCTCATATTGCTACAATTTAAAAAATAGGAAATATTTTATATCATCTGATCAATGAAACTTATGCTTCCGCATATGCTTATCTTTAATTATTAATTAAAATAAATATTAACTATTCTTTAGTTTATCTTAAGCTTTTCTTTAATAGGAATAACTGAAGTTACTAGAGAGTTACATATCGAAATACCCTGTCATTCAGTACAAATTAATGAAATGATATTATCTTATTTAATAGAACGTGTCCCAGTTTTCTATTCACATTATACATAATCCGCCCATTTTTTAAATTTTTTGAAGATTTGAATTTTTTCCGATTTTTTCTTTGCAAAGGTATAATAACTTTTGTTTTGGGATTTGTTGCAATATGAATTTATTGAACTTTAGAGCATTGCTGTCAAACATAGACTTAAAGGCAATGGGCATATTTAACCCACAGCGTACTGACTAAACAAAGTTATAATTATAGATAGCTACTAACGTCGATGTACTTTACCAAGATCCGTTGCCACAACCAAATGCCATTCAACACCCCTCCAGAGAGATTTTACAAGCAGGTCTTCGTGGATTACAACAACAACAACAACATGTGGTCTATCCCGTTGAAAGGTTAAAGCTTTATTCTCTTATATCTAGATTATAACAGACTACTAAAGATATCTTTGTTATTAGTTGTTAATTTAAGATGAAGACATTTTCATATATCGGATTTTAAGAAATAGTTAGGTTTAGTAAAAATTTTAGAAAAATTGAAACCCAAAATTGAACTTATACATACAGTCAAACTTCTATAACTCGAAGTAGCATTTTGCAAAGAAAAGGTTCGACTTATGGAGACTTCGAGTTTAAGAATTGTGTGTAACTTGCTCTTTAAGCCCTATTGCACTCTATTTTGTTCGAGTCATGGAAGTTTGACTTTAGTATATATTAGAATACTATATGTTAGGTAGTATTCTAATATACACATGTATAATCATTAGATATTTTTTTTTGTTTGTATATAACTTGCGCTCTAAGCCTTGTTGCACTCTATTTTGTGCGAGTTGTAGAAGTTCGAGTTATGGAGATTTGACTGTAGTATATATTAGACTAATAAGATTTTAATATACACATGTATAATCATTAGATAACATTTTTCTTGTCATTTTTCGAAATTTTTAAAAAATTTTATGAAAATCCCTTAAAAAATTAAATATTAAAACAACAGAGAGATATAAAAGTTATTTAGAATTATATATATGCACTTCGGGAGGCTCAGAACTGATTTCAATTTAAAGAATTATGAATTGGTGATAAGGTCATGAGCAGAATTCTTGCGAACGGATGTGAATAATCTTTGAAGTGGGTCAAAATATTTATGAATTCTTTGGAGTATAGAATAAAGCAATGAGGTCACCACTGCAGAAAAACTGCAACAATTCCATACCATAAATCATTATTAATATTTATAATTAAACGGCAATATCTCAATATCTAAATGTGGTGCATGAAATTCCTTAAGTGACTAAGAATTTTGCATGGAAGCCAGGCCAGATAGATACGCGCGTGGAGTCTTAATTTTCAATAAATTATGCATATAAATAAATATTTTATAAGGCAAATTAAT